TAGATGCGTTGCTGCCTGCCACTTTGCGGTTGCGGCAGTGTAAAGTTGCTTTCGGAAGGCCGCAGCAGTAAATTCTGTGTACACACAGCAAGTTCAGCGCAGTGCGTTGCTACCTGCCACGTCGCGGTTGCTACGGTGGAAACTTGCCTCGGTAAGGCAGCCCGAGAGGCTACTGGGAAAACAAACAGCACGCTCAGTGAAGTGCGTTGCTGCCCGCAATTTGGTGGTTACTGCAATGAAAAATTGCCTTAGTAAGACAGCCCCAGAGCCCACTGGGAACATACAGCAGGCCGAGCGCAGTGCGTTCTTGCCTGCCACTTTGCGGTTACTGCAGTGAACCCAGTGCACTCCTCTGGTGTGTGCATTGCGCTGCCTCTGTTGGTCTTCGTTCTGGTGGGACCGCTTGCGTTCCTCGCGTGAGCGCTCTCATGTAGAAGCCAAGGCCAGTGGCTCTTGCTTCTTCCCAGGCCCCGTGCCAGAGTCCGGCCGGCGCAGGCAGTCTTCTAGTAACGGACTTGCTCTCGCCGAACACGGCTTGGCGCTAGACACGGCCTGGCCCAAATCCCTGCCAGTGGCAGCCCGCCGGAAACCTGACCCCGGTCTAGTAGACCACGCGCCGAACTCAGAACAGAAACTCAGTTTGCCGTGGGGCAGCTCCAGTGGCCCAGTCGGCCCCAGCCCCGCCTGGAGCTTTCGCCCAAGCTCGTGCCGGCAGTGCCGACCACACCGCAGGCAGCTGCTCCAGCAGATGCCTTGCTCACAGGGGCTTCTTCCAGTGGAAGTCGTGCGGAGCCCGTGGTTCCCAGCCCAAACCAATCGTCAGAGACGGTCTTGGTTTCGGCTTGCCCATCCTGGACCGGGAGCGGTCTAGGTGAGGTCTGGGACAAGGAATGTCTTGGACAAGGCATGCAGCTGTCAGTGATAGACGTCGCTGCGCGCTCGTTTCTACACAAGGCCGTGATAGTATCACAGGCAGTGGACATGGAGGAAACTTTGCAGTGCAGAGCGGCCTTCTTTCGAGTCCCCGCCGACAGCAACATAGCTGACGGTCCTAGCCTTAAAGGCTAGCAGTAGTGGAGAACAACTGACTCTGTGACCTCTTAGTTTCACAGTTTTCAGGCCTAGTAGGCTCTGCTCGCGCTGTCTTCACAGTGGGTTCACATCATCCGGCTTAGTAGCCTCTGTTTCTGCATCTGCCTCGTAGGCACGCGCCAGTGGCGCAGAACAGCTGACTCTGTGACCTTGCAGGCTCACAGTTTCCAGACCTAGTAGGCTCTGTTTAAGCTGCCTTTACAGTGGGCACCAATAGGCCCTGTTTTTCTTTCCCTTTGATAGGCACTGGCCTGAGTAGGCTTCTCTTTTGCGTGCCGGGCAGGCAGGATATTTTCAATCAGGCCTATTGGCCTCTAGCCTAGCAGGCTTGTCGTGTGTCTCCTCGTCGGTGACAGTGCACTGACAGTAGACTCTGTGACCTAGTAGGCTCGCAGTCTTCAGGCCCAGGTGCCTTATTAAGCCTGATAGGCTTCACACGCCGAGTCGGCATGCGATCGTCAGTGGCAGAAGTTGCCAAGGTCTATTGGCCCGAAGCCTAGTCGGCTTCTCGTTGACGTGCCTGGTGGGCATGTTATCCCAAGCAGGCCTGGTGGCCCCCAGCCTAACCGGCTTCTCGTTGTGTCATCGCGATGTGCATCGTCGCTGAAAGTGATGACAGCAGACTTCTGGGCCTTGTAGGTTCCCGGATTCAGGGCAAGCGGCCTCAAGCCCAGTAGGCTTCTCCTTTGTCTGCCCTGTCGGCATGTGGTCACCGCTGGCAGAGAGGTCCTCGCAAGTATCCCTGTGGCCTTGCAGCTCACAGTTTTCTGGTGGGACTCAGGCCTAGTAGGCCTCTTGCTTTGTCTGCCTGGCAAGAGCAGCGCCGACAAGTGACTCCTCTGGCCTTGTAAGCCGCCAGGCCCCAGGCCTAGTAGGCCTGCCCGGAAGCGCCGTCACACGAGGTGCTGCTTAAATCGCACTTCAAATGGTCGCGTTTTGCTGACTTTCCTGTCCCAGGGTCAACTGCGAGTCCCTAACGGCCCGCTGCGAGTCCCTAAGGGCCCCACAGCGAGAGCCCAGTGGCCAACCATGAGGTTTTCTTGGCGGCAGCATGCGCCTGCCTAGCCCTTTGCACAGCAGTGCTGCCAACCACGCCGCTTGGGACTCTTGCGCGGAGTCCGCGCCGTGCCCCGGAGTGTCTGCAGCGCTGGTTCAACGCCGCCTTTGGCGGCGCGACTGGCGCGCGAACAGCAGTGAAAGTAACTCTTTCACTCCATACGCCAGGGTAGTGCCCCAAAGATCTGTTACTTACCAGGGCGGTGCATCGACTGACCTCAGCCTCAGCCTCAGTGAGGCAGTTGTAAAACTCCTGGGAGGAATCTGGCAGTTTACTTGCTTTACGTTCTGCCTGCCCTGGGCAGTTCGTCACAGTGCCAAAATTTCCTTAGTAAGGCTATCGCCTGACCTCAGTGAGGTTTTAGGTGCTTTCTTTGCTGAATTGCCTCAGTGAGGCAGTCGTTCAACTGATAAGAGCAATCTGGCAGGTTAGTTGCGTTACGTTCTGCCTGCCTCTTGGCTGTTCGTCACAGTGCCAAGTTTCCTTAGTAAGGCAGCTTCTCTCGGGGGCAGGCCGCTCCATTATCCATCCAGCCTACAGTGTAGGCTACTAAACGGATGACCATGCCCTTCTTGTTGGACAGATAATGACGCAGTGCGTCGCCCCTGCGCAACGAAGGGGCTTGTATCACCCGTTCGTGCCCGCTGCTGCAGTGCAGCAGCCGCCGTTTCTCAGCTCTGGGAGGCACAATCGCAGACTCCTTTCTCCAGCACCTGTCTCACAGTGCGAGCAGATACTTTTAGTCCTTAAATTGCCTGCAAATGGCTGGTTTTTTGGTATGAGGGCCCACTGCGAGTCCGTAAGGGCCACTGCGGGTTAATAAGGGCCCTCTCCCTCGCTCTGTTGCAGGCGTAAACGTCGCAGCGCGCTCGTCTCTACACAAGGCCTTCACGCGCAAAGCGGAAGGGGCCGTGATAGTATCACAGAGGACACTTTGCAGTGCAGAGCGGCCTTCTTTCGAGTCCTAGCAGAGAATGGTGGGAAGAGACTCGCAAGCTTGGTGCAGTGCGCCAGTTCTTGCCTCCCAACGTAGTGCCGTTGGCTCTGTCACTCGACGCGGTCTAAATGGGGGGTGGGTAAGGCTTCGAGTGCCTTCAAGGGGGGTGGACGAGTCGTTCGCCTTACCTGCGACCAGCGGTCGTCTTTACGAGAGATGCCAGTGGCCATCCTCTCTGTACAGTTGCCCGAAGATCGGGTCCGAACTCACCCCCCATATCCGCTAGGAGAAAAAAGGAGTGCTTTGCACAGGGTTTCACTGCAGCGCAGTTGAGGGTTCCCTGAAACGTGCGCTTACGAAAGTTTCGTTGGGAAATAAGCTTCCATCATGCGTGCGTGAATGAGTTTTATTTCCCGCCGAAAATGTAGACAAAGTTTGTCGAAAAGGAAAACAGTGTTTTCACTGCGTGTTGAGAACACTAGACAACACTTTGCCGTGCAGCTTTCGGCTTGAAGTTAGGATCTGTGATCCTAAAAATTTTTCTCCCGCCCACCACACCCTGTATAGTATGCAGGTATATGCGTTTTGACCATCTCCAGCAGAGCTGTGTGAGATTGGTCAAGTACTACGCTCAGCGAGCCATTCAACTCTATATGTTGGCATTCCTGTATAGTATGCAGGTTTTAGCCAAACGGACGTCCTGCAACAGTGCTGTGAGAGTTCGTCCTCTGCCACACTCAGCGAGTGAGTCGTCTTTCGCGGTACAGTGTACCTTCTTGTACATAGTCCGTAGACTGTCAGAGGTAGTTTGTGCTAATTCTGAGGGTCAGTCACTCTCTGAGTTGTTTCACACAGAAGAATCCTGTGGTACAGGCTTCCTCCCTGGTAGGGAGGGGGGAGGGGTCGACATTCCGTCCCCTGCCACACTCAGTGAGTGAGTCGTCTATCGCGGTACAGTGTACCTTCTTGTACATAGTCCGTAGACGGTCAGGAGTACTCCGTGCTAACCTGGTACAGGTTCCTTCCCTGGTAGGAGGGGGGTGGACGAGTCGCTCGCCTTACCTGCGACCAGCGGTCGTCTTTACGAGAGATGCCAGTGGCCATCCTCTCTGTACAGTTGCCCGAAGATCGGGTCCGAACTCACCCCCCATATCCGCTAGGAGAAAAAAGGAGTGCTTTGCACAGGGTTTCACTGCAGCGCAGTTGAGGGTTCCCTGAAACGTGCGCTTACGAAAGTTTCGTTGGGAAATAAAATCTGGGCTAATAGCCTTTTCGGGGCGCAAAACACATCCAAAACTGCTATTGGTCCAGATCATACCTCCAGGTATGGTCTGGACTAATAGCCTTTTCGGGGCCCAAAACGCCTTCAAAACCGCTATTCCCGCAGGCCATACCTGGAGGTACACCCTGGGGGAATAGCCCTTTCGGGCTCAATCCGAGTCTCCCTTGCTCTTCTTTTTCTTCTCTAGGGCCTCCACTCGCTTCTGTAGCTTCTTGACCACGCCCCACAGGACCACGGAGAGCTTCTGATAGTCGAGGGCCATGAGCTCCCGGCCGTCCAAAGTCTTCGTCTTGCACATCGTCGCGCCCAGCTTCCCGCTGGCCTGCACGTCCTGGGCCACGAAGCCGATCTGCTCCTTGCCGCCCCCGATGCGGTCGTAGAGCTGCGGCTCCACGGCGTCGAAGGTCTCTTGCAGCTCCTCCTCCGGGATGGCCCGGACGTTCTCCTTGAGCGCCCGGTCGCTCAGATTCACGAAGCCGTAGCCGAAGATCAGCTCCCCGTCGGTGTTGGGCTCGATCGCTAAGTTCGCCAGGCCGCCGGTGGTGTTGAAGCTGATGAACTGGTCGAGCGCGTTCAGCTGCATCCCTCCGTTATCCAGCGCCACCAGCTCGCCCTTGCCGCCGGCGGGCGCGTTATTCTGCGTGGACAGGAAGAGCCTCGCCGCGCCCGTCGGCAGTCGGCGCCTGGTTGATGACGGCCAGCTCGCAGAAGCCGCCGGGGTCCCCGAGCCCCGTGACGGCGGCGAACTTCGTGTTCAGCTCCAGGCCCGTGGTGCCGCCCGAGAGGTAGAGGTACGGCAGGCTGGCCTCGGGTGCGATGGCGCCGTTGACGAGGAGGGTGTCGTTGACGAGCACGCCCTGGACGCCGATGGAGAGCCACGGCGCCGTCGGGTCGCAGCGCACCAGCGGGGCTTCGACCCGCAGGTTGCTCACGACCTCCAGGTTGGCCGTGACGCTGCTGCTCGAGTTGAAGGTGCCCGTGGCGGCGACGCTGCCCACGAGCAATTGTGCGAAGTCAGCCGTGGTGGCGTTCAGGGTGCTGGCCGCAGCCACGGTCACATCCCGGTCCATGCTGATGCCTCCGTCGGCGAAGCTGGCCAGCAGCGCCCCGTCCTCCCTGCGTAGGGTATAACCAGGGCGTTCTGGATCTGCAGGTCCCCCGCCGAGCTCCGGAGCTCGGGCGCGTCCACGAAGCTTGGTGACGAAGTAGCGCGCATCGAGCGGGCCCAGGTCGTTCGTGCGCAGGAACCGGCCGTCCGCCTCGGCCTTGGACCAGGAGTCGCTCCGGATGCGCAGGGTGGACTGGTTGCCCAGAATCGCGTCGCCCACCAGCGGCGCCTCCAGCAGCAGGTTGCGCACGATGCGGGGCGTGAACTGCTCCTGCACCAAGTTGAAGATCTGCCCCGACTCCGCGCCGGGAGCTCTCACGAAGTAGCGGGCGTCCCCCGCCGTCTGGTCCAGGAAGCCGGCGCCGGCGATGGCGTCGTCGATCTCCGTTTGGGGTCCAGTATTGCGTGAGGGTGGCCGTGAGGAGAGAATCCAGCTCCGTGCGGGGATAATAGGCCAGCAGCTCGTTGGCCACGTAGGCTTCCGTCTGGGCTTGGTCGTAGTAGCCCGCCAGGTCGATGCCCGCCAGGGCATCCGCGATCTCCTGATCCGTCTCTGCTCTAGTGTAGAAGTCAAGCAGGGCCGTGATGATCTTGTTGTCGACCTGGCTGCTGTTGTCGTAGCTCGACAGGGCCGAGGAGATAGCTCACCTGCTTGAAGGGGCGGGGGTGTTAGTAATTGTATATGCAGGTTGTTAATTGTTTGGCACAGTTAGCAAATGACTTATATGAGATGTGTAAGTGTAGTTATTGAACTTAGCTATGTTGAAGTTAACTTGGTTAGCTAAGTGTATTTATATGAAAAAGATAAGTGAGCTAAGTGATCTAAGTTGCATGAAGCATGCTGCTCAGAGACGCAATGCAGGGCTTTAAAGCTCGCATGCAGTTCTCTTTTTTACACCTGCGGGACTGCGACAATGGCAGCATTGCCCGAAATGCTGTAAGGGCATGTGGCCCGGATCAGTCGGGTTTGCACGAGGCCACAATCGTCGGAGACTTCATACATACAGCCATGGACATGTGTCCAGAAGGTAATGTGCGACCATACAACTTTCTCGCACATTACATGATAAGCCACTTTGCCTACGGCAGTGACCCCATCCAGATCCATCAAGGCCAAGTCGCCGACAGCCACGGTGAAGTTTCCTCCATGCACTGCCTGCCTGGCTGTGAAGACTTCACCCTGGACCCGGATCGTGTTGTGTATCTCTGTTTGCAATCTGGCAGGAGCTGGTCTCACAGGGTCGACCAAGCGAACTCCTTGGCCTGGGAGGTATACACCCTCTGCCAGACTTTCCATGTGACCATGGAGTACATCTTGTAGGATGCTCCTCTCAAAGGTTCTGCTTGTATCCAAAATTTCATTCGAAATTTTTTTGATGATTTTATGTTTTCTTTCGTGCACAAAGCAGCTGAGGAGGACCTGATGCTTGGCCAGTTGCAGCGCCAAATGGCCTGCCAAGTGACACTTTGGCACCCACCACTCATCTCCATACCGACTTTTCGCCAGATCGAGATGCCTTTTGATGAGCTGCTGCAACTGCAGGGGGGTAAATGCTGAAGGTTTGGCATTGATCGCTTGCAAAGCATCAATCACCTTGCACAAAGCCAACCAAACCTCGCAAGAGTCCCGGATATCTCTGCTGCAATTTGGCAGCACAAAGACTAGCACATAGAGTCGCAGCAGCTGCATAAAGTTCAGAGCCTCGCTGGCTCCACACTTCAAGGTTTCGCTTGGCTTTCGCTTCTGCAAGATATCCTTTGCAGCAGCACCTCGCAAACGAGAAGGCCAGGTAAAACCATTTGCGAAGCGATCAATGTCATTGTGCTTCCAGCCATGGTTGTGAAGCTCTCCAAGAAAAAACCCCGTCAGAACATTGAAGATGCCATTGACCAAATAGATATGGAAGTAATCGAACATCACACACTCGATGACCGGAGGCCCGTATGCTGCATGTGCCAGCAATCCATCCTCTTTGAAATTGAACCCCATTGCTGTTTGGAGTTGCAGGAATCTGTCTTTGTTGAGGACCGTCTCTTGCCTTCGCAAGAAGTCCATGGTGTCTCGTATAGACTCGGGTGTGTGCATCCGAAAGCAACTCATGTCGGTTTCCAGGCCGGACACCATATTGCCCCGACTCCTTTCAGCAATGCTGCTTTTGTGGTCCACGGCGTTTTGGCATTGAACACAGAATATGAGCCCACTGGCTCCTTTATTGAAAAGGGTAGCCTTAATTGCAGCTTCGTCGGATATGATGATCTTCAAGTCGGCAAAGAGCATACGTGCTTGTCCAGGGCACTGCAACACAAGACCTTTTCTGAAGTCAGGTCTCTCAAAGAACAAGGCTGCTAGCTGCCTGAAGAGCACAGTCATGCCGCCGAGATCTGCGACCAGAGAGCTGCGAATGGCACAGAGAGTGAACCAGCAATTTTCGCAACCCATTGCATGCTGTCCCAAAGGGAGCAGGCTCCAATATACAGCCTGGACCTTTCTCCGGTTGGAGTGCTTGAGTTGGTTGCCCGGAGCCAGCTCGTCGGAATACCACACCAATCCCCATGGTTGAAGAATGCTGGGGGGTGTGGCATCCATGGCCCTCTCCAGGAACTCGCCAAATGGTCGACATCGCTCTGTCGCCCAGGCAAGCATTGCAGCTGGGTTCAAGACAGGAAATTCAAACTCCACACCAGTTTCGGCAACACACTTGAAGTCGCATAGGATCTCGCCATAAGCAGTTTGGTAGCTCCGAGTCTTCTCATCCCGGGCCCGCTTCAGTGTTCGGCGACTCGTCCCAGATGGCAACTCGGGCAGCTCTTGGAGTTCCTGCAAGACCTGACTGAGACCTCGCTGGGATACATATGATTTCCTTCCCAAGCAGGAGAGCGAGGAGCTCCCGGCGGAAGCCATGGGGTCTGCTGGCGAGCTCTTGGCCCTGCCGAGCGACCCACTACTTTGACTGCAGATTCATACATATATATATATGTATATCTGTATAAAAGGTATACTATATATAGGAAAAGTGGATGGGAGCATGCAGGCACTGTGTACGTACCTTATATATCTATATATATATATATATACAGAGATATGTTTTGTTTACATGTATATATGCATGCTCTTTGTTCCTGCAGGTTTCCAAGCATATTGCTGCAACGGTGCAACCCCACTGCGAGCAGTCCGGGAAACTCCAGTGCAAGGCCAAGACAACCTTTAACCATAAACCCGAAACTAAATATTTGATATATATATATATATGTATACACAGAAACCCGAAAGCTATAGATATATAGCATCCGAGTATTGATTTGTACACATATATATACATGTATATACAGTTATATATATAGTATATACCACACCAAACCTAACCTAACACCAAACGTGATCCTGAGACACATCTTAATAAATCGCAAAGCCATATATAATATATACATGTACAACTCGAAAGCTTCAACATAGCTCTCGAAGAAGGGTCCACATTCGCACCCTCCTAAAAGGACACCCCTGTATAATATATGTGTGTGTATATATATATATATATATCAATATATATTCAACCCATATATATATATATAAGTATATATAGGCTCCTATATATATATATATATATATACATCCCATATGTAAAGTATATCTATATATATATATGTATATAACACATATATAATATGCCACGAAACAAAAACCCGGATCGTGCAGGCATCCTGCACCACCGCTTTTGACACCTGCCAGGATCGCTTCGGTCTTTCCCTCCGTGGCAAGCGATGCTCCCAACATTATACCTCCCGAGGTACAATGGCTTTAATGTACACACAGCCTTTGTGAAAGATGAATAATAAGGTGCATGCTTCCTGGAGGCTCGCGAACAAAACTTTGCTGATGCTGGAAGACACCAAAACACGTCAACATGCATATAGACTTAAGATGTATACACTCTGCCTGTAGCCTCCAAACTCTCACCCTATATAGGACTCCAGCTGTGCATGCTTTCAGCAGCTGTTGATGCAATCACGGGCCAAAGCACGACGGTGTGCAGCCGGGCTTTTCCCGGCACTTGGCACACCCATTGGGTCGCAGCTTGATGCGAGCCGACAAAGTCATGCATCGGACCTCTTCTCGAGTGAACTTCTGCAAAGCCTTCTGGACCTTCTTCGGCTGCGACTTCGCCTTCGCCTTGCAAGCAGCCTTGGCCTTCGCCTTGGGCTGCGACTTTGCTTTGGGCTGGGACTTCATGGCCGTGCACTTGGCCTTCGCCTTAGCCTTGGCCTTGGCTTTACCCTTGGCCTTGGCTGCAGCCTTGGGCTTCTTATTTGCCTTGTGCTTCGCCTCGTTTTCCTTGGCCTCGGCCTCGACGGTGCTGTCGAACCCTTTGTTGTCGCCCTTCCAAGCTTGAAGCATTTCATCTGCATGTTGTGCAGCACTGACAGGATCCTTGCTGGCCAGCACTCCCTGTTGCTCGGCCTGCTTTGTTCCGCTGCCCTGTGCCGGTTCATTGGTAACTGTAGGAAGCTGCAAGGCCTGCTGTTGAGCAGGCGAGGAGGCCATCGTCCCAGACGAGGCGGCAGCAGCTGGGTCGCCGAAGATTTTCAACCCAGGCAATCCATCGTTCTTCTTCGCCAATTGCTGCTGCTGGTTGAACATGTTAGCTGCCATGCTGCCCCAGAACTGCATCATACCCTGCATGGTGTGGGGCATGTGCATTGCCGGGCCTGCTGCTGGACCACCCAGCACCATGGCAGTGTTGCTCTTGTGGAAAGAGAGGCTTTTGTTACTGCCACGAAGAGCATCACGGGCCAGCACCATTGTTCCAGGCAGCTCAGCATCACTTCACGCGTGCGTGTCGATGTTTTATAGATCCTAGGTCAAACGAAATTTTGTAAGCAACAAAATTTTGGGCCATGACAATCTTTGCGCTACTCTTAGTAGTGCTTTACAATCCTGACTTTTAACAACTTTCAATCGCTGTTGCATGATTTCGTTTCTCCTGTCGAGCAACGATTTTTAAACCATGCGGTTAAACGGACACTTGGTCATGATTGAATCTGCAACCATCGAAGCTGTCTCGAGATCGAGCCAGAAAATTTTGATTTGGGGGCTCTCTAGAGGCTTGTAATTCCGTCTAACAGGCCTGAGCCCTCTGTAACTCGGTGTTGCTCTTAGAGCGCCGTGCAAGAGCCCCGCCGGGGGCTCGGATGGATCCGAGCTCGACCCTTGCGGCCGAGTCGTCTTCCAGCGACACTCAAGAGGCCATTTCGGCCCACCTGCACTCAGTTCAGCTTCAAGTTAATTCCCTTGAACAGCAGCTTGCCTTGCTGCGATCAGAACTGCAGGAAGTTCGCCAACAGCTTGTGAACCTTGAGGCCGAAAGATACCAGCACTCCCTTCGCTTGGGGTGGCTGGAGCAACTTGTGCAGCGCGTTTCACGCGCTTTCCGCTTTGCGTGATTGTGCCTGCACTGGGGTACTTCGGGGCTGTAGTAGAATGGGGGATGATGAGAACAGCTCCCTCCCTTCGAGTTACGGGCTTCACCTGAGGTCGTGCCTGCGAGACTCGAGGTCTATTTGGAAGACCCCTTGGAACAATGCACTCGTTGCTTTTGACCCTAAGCCCCGCTTGCCGCCTCCTCTTGGACCTCTTCCACTTGTAGTCCCAGCGAACCCTTCTGCTGATCAGCCAGCCGTGCCGATCCCTCGCTTCATCAGGTCGGAAGGGCTTGAACAGGTGTGTGCTAAGATGGCCAAATTCAAACACACTTCATGGGAAGTTATGATCAACGAGGAAAGAAATCTTGCCGTGAATAAGTGGCTCAGCCTGGTCATGGTCGAGCCCTTGACCTTCGGTGTAGCTAGGAACTTCTACGCCGGCAAGGCGTCGGGGATCTCTTCAGGATCACTTGCAGACAGCATTTCGGATTGCCTTGCTGCCAAGGCCACTTCGACGATCAATGCCAGGGCGAATTGCTTGTTGCGGTTTGTTTCTTGGGCAAAGGGGAACATGCCGTTTGTTTTTCCCTTGACCGAGCATGCTGTCTACGCATACTTCGAGGAAAGGAAGTCCACAGCAGCGGCAACTTCGTTCAGGAGCCTTCTTTCTTCCGTTGCTTTCGCTCAGCATGTGGTAGGCCTGGAAGGGTGTGACAAGGTTTACACTTCGGGTCGCGTCCGCGGCCTTGCGTCGAAGCTTTACATGCAGAAGAGGAAGCTCAAGCAACGGAATCCTCTGAGGGTCTCCGATGTCATTCTTCTTGAAAGGATTTGTTGCAAGCTTGAAGACAGGTCTTTGCAGGACCGTATCGCTGCAGGTTTCTTTCTTTTCTTGATTTATGCAAGAGCTAGATACAGTGACGGGCAAAATGTAGCATCGCTGACTGATTCGCCGCTCTACTTGGAGTGCAGTGTGGGCAGGTCTAAGACGAGTTTCACTTTGGAACGCAAGACCAGGTACTTGCCAATGGCTGCCAGGAAGGTGGGCATCAAGTGTGCATGGGCCGATGCGTGGCTTGAGGCTTTGTCAGAGGCGGGTCTTGCGATCAAGCCGAACGACCCGTTGCTCCCCTGCCCTTCTTCGAATGGTTCGTGGAAGATGATCCCGCTTCCGTGCGATCAGGCTTGCTCGTGGCTCAGGAGCCTGCTGGGGAACGCTCAGAGCGATCCCTACCTTGCAAATGTAGGAACACATAGCCTTAAGAGAACTTTGCTGAGCTGGGCAAGCAAGCGTGGTCTGCCCAGAGAACTGCGGGCCCTCTTGGGGTATCATACGTCCCGAGCCTCGGGCGCGGGATCAGAGCTCATCTATGAGTCCGACGCCCAGTCGGCTCCGCTCAGGGCTTTGTCATCTATGATCGACGAGGTGTCGTCCGGGGCCTTCAAGCCCGACAAACCAAGGGGGCAGCAGCTTGCTTCCGAGCTGTCGGCGAATGCCGATCCCCCGGGCGATGAGATCGAGTCGTCAGACTCTGAGGGCTCCGAAGACGAGGAGGAGATCGACCACTCAGGGGACGAAGCTTGTGTTGCCGAGGCTTTGGACTGGCATGGGAAGGTCGATCTTGACAAGATTGATCCCTCGTGTGTTTTCTTCCGGCATCGCCAATCCAGGGTAGTGCACATCACTGCCGACGAAGCCGGTGCCAACCTAGGCTGCGGTAGGACCATTTCGGGTCAGTACAGGAAGCTGGAGGCGCGACCCGCAGTTTTGCATCCAAGGTGCAAGCAGTGCTTCAGGCGATACTTGATTGTGCAGCAGGGCACATGACTCTGCATCCGGCTCGTGTCTGCAATTTTGTGCAAAATGGTGATGTCGTGCACGTGCGCTCCGCAAGCCGGTCAAGTGCTGTCATTAGTGGTATCGTGCAAGAGCAGAGATCTGGCGGATGTCGTGTCCTGCAAGATGTGTGATTTGATGAAGAGCAAAGCCCTCCTGCAGCTGCTTTCAGCTCGTAGTGGTCCAAGCAGCACACCATGGCGGCCTTCTCCGAGTCGGGGCCAGTGTTCAAATCACGATGTGCCCAGGTCGGTTTGGCATCTGCGGATGTCGAAAAACTCGAGAAGGTGGGTGTGGATTCACTCGCAAAGGTCGCTTTCATGACGAGCTACACGCCGGGCTCTGGCGATGACAAGGACCTCATTGCAGCGTTCGAGTCGGCCCTCGGGACGCCGCCCTCTGTAGGGCAGAAAAGCTCCTTCCGAAGGTTATTTCATGAAGCTTATGCTGTTACCACTTCGGAAATGAAGATGCTTGTGGAGCGGACGGATGAATCCATCCCGAGAAAATTGAGCGTCCCAGAGAGATCTGAGAGGTTCGAGGTAGTGAGCAAACGCCTTGTGGGCCTTTCGATCAAGAACCGTCTTGAGCCTGCCGATAGCCTCGTCGACTCCTTCGTGTCCCAGCATGAACAGGACAAGCTGCAGTTTGTCCCGTGGGAGAAGCTTGTTTCCAAAGAACAAGAGGCCTCAACAGGGGCAAAGCGAGAGCCTTTCTTCTCGCTGGACAGTACGGGCAAGCTCAGGTCGGAGACGAAGGTTGAGGTCCGTGCCGATACTAGCACGGAGCTGCTCTTGCAGCTCGCGCTTCAAAGGCGCGGCATCGCTATGGAAATGGCGAACATCCTCGACTACCATCGTCACCACATGTGGGTTGAGCGCCTTCTTGCGGCGCGCCTCGACGCACCTCCGTCGACGCACATGCAGCCCACACTTGATCAGTGTCAGCAAGCTGACAGGAAGCTTTGGCAGCTTCTCGGAGAAGCGACTCGCTCAGGCATCCAGCTCAAAGCTGGGGGGCGTCCATTGGACGCCATCTTCGAGGACACATGGCAGTCACCAGAGGTGCTTCATCTGCTTCAGCCGATGCCTCGGGCAGCAGGCGCTTCAGTCACGCAGCAGGTGGCACCGCCGCCGAGGCCGCACGGGCCGGGCCCGTATGATCGTCCGGGCAAAGGCCGAAAGGGCACAGGGAAAGGTGCCAAGGGCACCAAAGGCAGCGGGAAAGTTCCTGCCGCTCTTGCGGGCTGCAGATCTTGCACCAATGCAGGTGAAAACATATGTTTTGGGTATGGACTCAAAACGTGCAGGGAAACTGTGACTCGTGGTCGCTGCGTGCGCGGATTGCACATCTGCGCATGGCCCAAGTGCGGCAAATCGCATCCTGCGCTGGACTGTCCGTTGCGTGCTGAGGCTCTTAGCCAAAAGCAAGAGTGACAGTCGAAGAGCGAGCCCGGCAGCTCGCAGTTCTCGACTCAGAGTCGAGACAGCCCAGGCTTAGCTGGGCAAAGTTTTGCACCGCCGCAGGCTCCGCCTGCGCCGAACAGTTCTCCTTTAGCAGTTCTTGATCCGTGTCAGCAGAGTGCTAGTATGGATTCAAGCAAGTTTTCTTCACTTTTGCAATTGCTTCGGAGCGCCAATTGGCCCAACTCTGTCTTGCAACGCAAGTCTGTTTCTTCAGCGGATCCCAAGCAGTCGGGGTACTACAACTTCGGGCCCAGAGCCAGCTGTCCCCATCTCCTTACAAACGCCACGCTGCAGATGCGAGAGTTTGTCCAGCAGCTGAACTCAGCCGTCAAAGCACTTGTGCCTCAGGCGTCCTGGAATGCAATCTGTGTGGGCCAGAATACGCTGTCGGATTTTCACAGGGATTCCGGCAACCAACGGGGTTCTTTGAACCATACCTTCTCGCTGGGCACCTTTCAAGGCGGCCAGCTCTGGCTTGAAGATGCGGCAGGCACTTCCGAGGCCACGAGTCCCGCAGGCGAGCAGATCCGGGGCAGGGTTGTGAACACTTTTTGCAACCCCACTAGTTTTTCTTGCAACTTGTGGCATAAGACGATTGTGGATCCGCCGCTGTGACTTCGCAGTCCTCTGGCGCGCAATCTCCGCCCGAGCCTGCCACTTCTGGGTCTAGCCCTTCGGTCCCCGCCCCTTTGGGTTCTAGTCTTCCCCCGCCCGCCGACCCGCCTTGTAAACGCTTGAAATCCCAGGATGCAAAGGTGTCGCCTTCGCAGCATGAAAAGCCTTTGTTCTTAGAGATTTGTAGCGGGTCGGCTATGCTGTCTTATGTCGCCAAGGAGGCAGGCTACACTGTTGTGCCAATCGATTGGCACCATAACAAACAAAGATCCTGTGTGCACACTCTGCAGCTTGATCTCCGCCTCGCCAGCACGTGGTCATTCCTGCGGCGCATTTGCTCCGAATACCATGTCGCTTGGATCCACATGGCCCCTCCATGCGGTACTGCAAGCAGGGCTCGCGAATGTGGGCCCGGTCCTAAACCGCTTCGGTCGCATCATCATGTGCGTGGGCTCCCTGGCCTTTCACAGGTAGATCAAGCTCGTGTTGAGAGTGCCAACTCCATCTACGACAACATGGAGTCCTTCTGCGACTGGCTGCTTCGATTCATGCCTCATATCCCGTTCTCCGTTGAGAACCCGTTGCACAGCTACCTTTGGCAATTCCCGAAGTGGGCCGCAATGGTCCAACGGCACTCCTTTGTCACATTTGACTCGTGCCGGCACGGCTCGCAACGCAAGAAGGCCACGGCCCTTCTCACTAATTCTGACTTCCTGCACTGCCTCTCGGGACCCTGTCCCGGCTGCTCCTCGCATCTCCCATGGGGTAAGCAAGGTCGTACCTTTGCAACCGCTGCAGAAACAGGGTATCCTAAGCTTCTTTGTGAACGGATAATCTCATGTGTGGACAAGTCGGCCACCTTGCGGGGCATTGCGCCGGACCGACTGACTGTTTCAAAGGTCTCTGCTGCACGCGCCGCTGGTCAGGTGCAGCCAAGAGGGCGCAAGTTCCCACCGATCATTTCCGAATTTGCTTATACCGTTTCTGTTGGCAGCGCGGCAGCCCCCACTCTCAATTCCAAAGAATGCTTGTCATCTGCATGGCACGGCGTCCCTGCAGGTTCAAAGCTCCTCCGGGAGTCAGTGGAGAGGGGAGGTTCGCGACTCCCTGAGGGCAACAAGTTCTACGTGTTCGGAGTGTATCGATCCATGCAGGCTTTCTTGAACGAAGCAAAGCTAGTCGTGCACCCGTTTGATTCCGCCAGGTCGCTCCCGGATGAACTTTTGCGAGTCTTGTTCGACACACTCACTAAGGGTCCGGTCGACACGATGAGACATCGCCTTCTTAAGCTGCAGCACTGGCGTGCCCTTGCCAAACAGCTTGAGCCCGAAGAAGAGAAAATCAGGTCAGCCATGGATCCGTGTGTGAGGAGGGTCCTCGGCAACAAGCGTATAGCGCTCATGAAGAGCGTTGCCGCAGAATTGTCGTGGCCTGACACCACTCTCTTCGATGACCTTGCAGCCGGTTTTAAATTAACAGGGTACTTAGGTCGCACGGGGGTCTTTGCTAGTGACGTTAAGCCTGCCACGATGGACCTTGACGAATTTTGGTCGAGCGCCCCGCTTCGCAGGGAAACTCTTCTTGAAAAGGTCAAGGGCCAAAAGGACCATGACTATGCCGATGAGCTCTGGAACATGACGCTTGAAGAGTCCGATAAGTCTGGGAAGAGCTGGCTTGACGGCCCGTTCGATGTCGACTCTCTGGGGAGCATGTTCCCCGACGGTTGGAACGCCTGCCGGCGTTTTGCAGTATGGCAGGGCAAATGGCGTGCCATCGATGACTTCTCGGAAGCTGCGGTGAATGCGTGCTTCGGGTGCTTTGAACGCGTCACTCTCAAAGCCCTTGATGAAATCTGTTGGCTGTGCATGCAAGTCTTCCGCGCCGCAAAGAAGTCGGGCTTTCTTGATCTGGAACTCAGTTCGGGTGAGAGACTCAGGGGGCCTATCCATACTGCGTGGAAGGACCTCGACCGTGTTCGTCCTCACTGCAAGACATATGACCTTCATGCTGCGTACAAGCAGCTCGCGTTGCACCCTGGGGAAAGGTCGAAATCCATTATCCTGCTCCGGGAGCCCGGCTCCCGCGCTGTCAAGGCCTTTGTGTGCAATACTCTGCCCTTCGGGGCTTCGGCCTCGGTTATGCAGTTCAACAGGGTGGCGTTATTCTTGCAAAGGGTTCTTTGGGATCTGAGGGTAGCTGTGACGTGCTACTACGACGACTTCCCGACGATGACTCCCTCTTTCTTGTCGGGCGGAACGGACAATGCTGTTCATGCCCTCATGGACTTGTTCGGCTTCTCCTTGTCCGAGAAGGAGAAGCCGTTCTCGTGCACTGCAGAAACTTTGGGTGTTGTGCTGGACACGTCTGATCCTGACATGGGGCACATCTTCGTATCGAACAAGCCTGAGCGGGCTGCCATGCTCGAGGGGTCAGTAGGGCGCATCCTTGAACAAGGCCAGGTGGACACGAGGGAACTGCCTTCCCTCCTTGGTAAACTTCGCTTTGCGGATGCTCAGCTGCTCGGTCGCACGGGGCGCCTGGCCCTTGCTGACCTTAGGCTCTTAGGCGATAAAGGGGGTGTCTTCCAGCTGACTGATTCACAATCGAATGCCTTGGCCGTTCTGAGGGCGAGACTTCTTGCGAGCAGACCCCGCGCCATTGCTGCGAGCCCGCCTTCGAATCCAGTCCTCATCTTCACAGATGGCGCATGCGACCCGTGTGAGGGCGGCTTCACCACAGGCGTTGGAGGTGTCATCTTCATTCCCAGCAAAGGGGTGGCCAGGGCTTTCGGCTGCAGGGTTCCGAGCAAGCTTGTCAAGCAATGGGCCGAGGGCAGGAAACACATCATAGGGCAAGTTGAGCTTTACGCGGTCGTGCTAGCCAGGATCTTATGGTCGAGTTACATCGATGGCGAAAGGTGCTTATTCTTCGTTGACCATTCCGGTGTGTTGAGTGCTTGTATCAACTCGAACTCGATCGATGCATCTTGGAGGAGCCTTCTCCTCCATCTGGAGGCTGCCGACGAAGCACGCCCGTGCTTGCCCTGGTTTCATCGCGTCCCGAGCCAGAGTAACATCGCAGACCCACCGTCGCGTGGCAGATGGGACGAATTGTCGTTCCTCGGGCCTTTCACTCGTGATACGCCGGCATGCTTTGTCACTGGTGAGGCGCTTGAAGCAACGTAACGCATAGTCGAGAGGGGGAGATTGATGGTCACGTTGCACTCGAAAGTGCGATTGGATCTGTTGGCACGCCCGGTGCCTCGACTTAGGTGGAGGGGCACTCTTAGTGCCCGGTGCACACGTTGTGCACTTGTGTTTTCCGCGAAAACTCCCCATGACTCTCGGCTGTGCCGTGAAAACAAGTGTGAGCGTTCTGCATCAATTTCTTATCACCTGTATATATTCGAATCGGACCAACATATGTGGTCTACAATTCTTTATATGTTTTGAAGTGGAGATATTTGATCGAAGTATTTATACTTGATCCAAATATGTGATTGTCATGGATGACCGGATCTATAAGCATCACTTCACGCGTGCGTGTCGATGTTTTATAGATCCTAGGTCAAACGAAATTTTGTAAGCAACAAAATTTTGGGCCATGACAATCTTTGCGCTACTCTTAGTAGTGCTTTACAATCCAGACTTTTAACAACTTTCAATCGCTGTTGCATGATTTCGTTTCTCCTGTCGAGCAACGATTTTTAAACCATGCGGTTAAACGGACACTTGGTCATGATTGAATCTGCAACCATCGAAGCTGTCTCGAGATCGAGCCAGAAAATTTTGATCCCACCCAACCTGGTCACGTTGCACTCGAAAGTGCGATTGGATCTGTTGGCACGCCCGGTGCCTCGACTTAGGTGGAGGGGCACTCTTAGTGCCCGGTGCACACGTTGTGCACTGTGTTTTCCGCGAAAACTCCCCATGACTCTCGGCTGTGCCGTGAAAACAAGTGTGAGCGTTCTGCATCAATTTCTTATCACCTGTATATATTCGAATCGGACCAACATATGTGGTCTACAATTCTTTATATGATTGGAAGTGGAGATATTTGATCGAAGTATTTATACTTGATCCAAATATGTGATTGTCATGGATGACCGGATCTATAACCTCCCAAGGCATCTGCGAAGCGATCTCGGGTGTGTGGTGGAAGATCCTCAGGCCGAGTGTACTTGGCGACGAACTCGCCACAGGAAGCATCTTTGAGCATGGTCTTCACCTTCTTCTTGATGCACACGACAGCCGAATGGAACTCGTCGGGGCTCTGCAAGCCAGTATTGTTGCAACTCTGCAGGGTCTTGATGATGTGTCCCACAGACTGTTCTGATGGCCAGAACATCTCCAGTCGAGCCATTATCTGAGCAGTGTGAGTCAGCCTCATGACGAGGGTGTCGTCGCTGGACAAAACTCTCCGGTCCTCGGCGCCCAAGAAACCCCAGAAGTTGAGAATTTCCTGGTTCTTCTTCTTGGCCTTGGCATTTGCTGGAGTGCTGCCTGCCAAGGTCTGGGAGACGGCTGCACCCAGGGCCTGCTTCTGCTCGTGTGACCAAAGGCCCTGCTGCACCAAGCTGCAGATCTCTGCACCCTCCTCGACTGTGATGTGGCTTTGACGAATCGTTCTGATGGCGACCTCGCTCTGAGCAGCCAAGAGAGAAGTCCATTGATCTCCCATGATGGGCTGCTGGGTCTGGAGGAGCTGGTTCAGCTGTCGAAGGAAAGCAGCTGCCATTGCACGGCCGGATATAGCACAGATGCTCTGCACAAAGCGAGCTGCTGTAGCCCTGCTTGCGAACACCTGTCTATATAGAGCAGCAGCGGGCAGCAGGCAGATGATGGAGTGCATGTGCTTTGCAACACACAAGCATGCAGCCTGCCACTGGAGACGTCTTTCACATTGCATGCAGTCACAGACCGGAAGACTTCTTCACCAAAGGGGTCTCGGTTTCGCAGGCAGGGCTCTGAGCTCGCCAGCAGAACCCGTAGACACCCTCAAGAGCACAGCCATGTTACTACAGTATACCGACACCTGCAGGCATGCAAGTGTGTAATATATGTGTATGTAAGTTCAGAGATTCAGTCCATTTCATATACACATAAATATATATACACATATATGTATGTATATATATATATATATATGTGTATATAAGAATATATGAACGATATGTTTTGGTATCTGTATATGTATATGTATATATACATATACATATCGTGTATATATACATATATATATATATGTATGTGTGTGTGGGGTAGATACACATCTCACATGTAATAGGTATATATGCAGAGTGTGTAAAACTGTGTATGTATATGTACTTCAGTGAAATCCATGCAGCCACTTTGCTATGTAGCAGTCTCTTCCTTCACAGCCAACCCCCCCTCCCTCCAACCCCCTTGTACCTTCCCTCGCTCACTCGTTCTCTGTCTCTGTCTCTGTCTCCCTCTCTCCCTCTCCTCGTTTGTTGCTCTTTGTCGCAGACACAAACACACACACACACATGTTGCCATGGGGGTCTGTGTGCCTCATGGGCCTGACCAAACGGTGCACACTCGGAGGATGGGCGGTTTTTCTTCAAACTGGCCCATATGGTCTGTGGTCGTGAAACAGTCACAGGACGAGGCCCCGGTAGCCCGAAGCCTCGGCTATACAGGGGGAGATAGCCCCCTCGCCGATTCGTCTTCTGCAGCCCAAAGCTATTTCTTACCTATATAGTGTCCCTAGTTATTGCCTAGAGAGGCCAGAGGACAGGGAACCACGAGGGCACTGGGAAAGCAACCCTTTATGCATGCATAAGGGGCCTGACCCCAAAAACCCGAAACCTTTATGTATGCATAAAGGTTTGTGCCCTTGGCCCTGCCGAGGTTTATGCATGCATAAGCCCCGCCCTAGGAAACTGAACCCAGCCATATGCATGCATAAAGTTCCGGTCTATTTTGCTTAAGGGGCTTTATGCATGCATAAACCCCGGCCATCGGGACTGGTAGCCCTGACCCTCTGTGCCCGAAGCGGCGAGCCGGAAAATGCCCCCAATTTCAGGTCCTTCGCTGCTCACAGCATGCAGGACCTTGGGATCCAAGCAAGCAGGCCAGGCCGTATATAGAGCAACACAGGCGGTCTGAGCTTCCAACTATTAGCGGCTCCCCTGGTCTCCAGGCCACAAACCAGGGGTGCCAGGCAGGAACCATGGGATCCTGCCAGGCATTATAAGTTTCAACACCATCAGGACAGAAAGGCTCCTCGGTCACAGCACAGGCCTCAACGGACTCGCTTTTCTTGCAGGTTCATCGTCTCGGCCATGACCCCCATGGTGTGGAGGGAGGCCCGCAAGTCCTGCATGTCGGGGCTCGCGGTGTCTTCAGCTTTGCTGTTCTCGTGGATTGGCAAGCAGCAAGGGTCCTCCATGTGGCTTCTCGATTCCTCGAGTGCCCCTTGGGCCTGGAGTGCCCGGACACCTTGGCCACCACGTGTCCGGGCCCTCTTTCTCCCCATGCCCGCCGCCCACTCCTGCAACGGGGCCAGCAGCAAGCAGAGGCAAACCTGAAGCACCATCACAAAGACCAAGGCAAGCCTGGCCGTGCTCGTCGATGAAAGCGACCTGCCCAAGAAGACTGCATCAGTATAGAGACAAGTGCAGTCGTGCATGCCAGACCCAAAGAAAAAGCCTTGGGCTTCACGTAGTGCCCTTTGCCCTTCGAGTCCGGCATCAGATCTCCTCAATCCAGACAACAAACACTTGCAAAGAAGCCTGGCTCCAGACAACCACAAGAAGTCCTTCGTCCCAGTTCGCGGGCAAAGCCTGCCACAGATGCAGCATGCATTATATACACAGTGAACAGCTATATGCTTGCTGTCCTTGGTCTTTGGCACGGGGTCCATGTACCTCTTCGGAGGCGGCTCCTGCAATCAAACAAGAAGTACATTATATCGCCTTACGAAGAAATTCCGCCTTCGGCTCCGCTGGGCGCTGCTTCTTGCTGTTCGCCGGCTTCAGCACAACTGGCGAGCAGGCACACTAGATATGTACGATGGAGCAGCATGCAAAAGCAGTTGCAATGACATGTCGGGCATGCTGGGCTCGGCCGCTGGATCCTCGACGTCCACCTCCACGGTGTCCGACTCCTCGTGGCCTGCATGCTGCAACTACATGGATATATACATATGGACTCCTTGAGCTTCAAATACCCGGCCTTCCAGGCATATCACAGAAGCTTTAAAGTCTCCCACATCGTCGTTCCAGTAGAGCCACCCGCCTTAGGCGACAACGGTTTTCTTCTACCCAAATTAAGAAAACACCTAGGACCAGGGCTGGCAGGCACGTTCATGGCCTGCACGTCTGGGTGCTTGAAGTACATGTCACCTGCACGAGTGCACGAGCCAATTCACTTGATTCCATGCAGACACTATATATAACTGCAGCCTCCAACAGACAGGATCTTCCACCCCATCTTGGCCGACCAGGAAATCGTGGTGCCTGCAAAACAATTGCAACCAAATGAAAGGCTATATATCCATATCACTTGCATGGGGGCACCGGCCTTCATCATTCTTGTATTTCCCCCTCCCGGACTTCGAGAAGTCCGTGTGGAGCTGCAGCCGCTCCACCACATCGGCCTGTTATTTTTGGGGCGGTGGCATGTGTGTGCATGTGGTTGTACAGGGGCCCCCCCTCCACAGCGGAGGGAAGGCTTCGCGACAAGAAGCTAAAGGACATCATCACTCCCAAAAACCACGGCAGCTTCACAAGCCAAAAGAGCTGAAAAAGCAAGCATGGCGCAGACGTGGCACCCACTGCAACAAGGGCAAATGTGCATGCAGAAACACGACACCAATGTTCAGAGAGCTTCGGTCGATGTCGTCTGTCCAAAGACAGCATCGGGCAATCAAAGTGTGGAGCCGTTGTGAGTTTGCATCATTGACAGTAATATATACATATGTATATATATATATATTTTTTTTCACGGTGTGTTGATACATACTATACATCAAGTATACACATTGCATGGATGCACGGAAGATACATGCGAGACTGCATGCAGAATCACTTCTTGGCCTTGGCCGGGGAGCCAACGATGCCCTTCGGGGCCGGGGAGCCATTCAGGATGCTCTTCAGGGCCGGGCTCTTAGCTTTTGCCTTGGCCTTGCCCTTGGCTTTCGCCGCTGGAACCTTCTTGGC